ATACTTAAAAGTTGTGCCGAATCTCACGATGAAGATTTGAGAGTGCTCGGAGTCAATTGGATAAAGGAAGATGTCAAGGGGATCAAATTTAGTCAAAAGATGATCACAAATCAATTTCCAACCGAAAAGTTATGCTCCGGTGTTTTAGTTTCATATTGAGACCTATTTTTGGCATGAAAAGTGATCGAATCGGAGAATGATATCTGAATCAAAGTTTTAGCCAGATGAGTTAGCTTTCCAACGCATTTTGAATCGCCTCAATCGGATATCGAAATACAAAGTTATGATAAAAATAATGAAGGAAAGTGCAGCTGTCTGTTTAAAACAAGAACTTCCGTTACATAATCCGTTAAAACAACAAATTCTGTTAGTTTTTCCGTTAAAACAAGAAATTCCGTTACATAGCCATTTTTAATATATAGAAGATATCGATTTATTTAGGCTCTCAAGATACCCAAAGCAAAGTACCCCTACACCACCCCTAAATTAGCTCAATGTAGGCTCCATTAATTTGTAAATAGAGTATAAAGCAGGTCGCCCTGAGTACGCACAATAAGCCCCTGTTTGGCACCCATTAATTTCTCATTCTCATTCTCATTCTCATTCTCATTCTTCATTTCAACCACATATTCTTTAAATAAAATAATATTACACACAAATCAAAAACTTTTCATCANCTTCATTTTCAACCACACATTCTCCAAATAAAATAATATTAGACACAAATCAAAAACTTTTCATCACTTTTCCACCACACATTCTCACATCAATCACTATTCCAAAATTTCTATTCTCCTCAAAATTAGATTCAAATACACCCTAAGTTGTTTTAGGGGTTGTATTCAATTGAAACATTTTTATTCATTCAAAACTACTTTTTATTATATTGGGGAGGGGGGACGGGAGTGCTGAGGATCGAACCTGCAACTCCTTTTTGGAAACTTTTCATTATCTAACTAAATCTAAGTGAATTCTATCTTAAATGAAAATCTTTAAAAGTCAAATGATTTGTACATGTATTTAGAATAATTAACAGTTTTATAGCTTAAAATATGAACCGTGAAAGTAAAATAAGAAAATTTACTCGATAATTTACACTTTGAAATTCATTTTTGAAGCACAACCCTAATACTTGAGGCTCAATTTATCACAAATAGAGTAAAAAATGGAAAATTTGACAACTACCCTACTCTTTTTAGCCCTTATTCGACGGCCTTAAAATCCACATTTTAATGCGTTTTAATTTCTCAAACAATAATATGTTAATTTAAAATTGCAAGGACTTCTGTCAAGCAATCAATTCTTGTGATTTACAACCAACCTTTGAAAATAAAATTTTCATTCCTATCATTAATTGAACACTCTCAATTTACCAAACAACCGACCGTAATTGTTTGGGGGTACTTCGGAGTATACATAGATATAAATCTTTCCACGAAACGAAGCTAAACTGACATCATTAATTGAGTAACGTCCCTACATCTACTGTATAAAAAAATTGGAAACACAAAAAAGAAAGGGCGTCAAACAGGCACTTAGGAAGACTAAAAAAAAAAACCCCTAACTTTTTTTTTTTTTTCAATTTTTGAATATTTTTTTATTTTTATTTTTTGAATACCATTTTACTTATTAAAATTAATTCACAAAAGTTAACATATTATGTTATATTATATTCAAATCAAAACTTCAATTTTACGCTTTTACGTTGAATATTTTAGTTATACATTAATAACAAGAATATTACTGCGATGTTTGTAGAACAACATATATGTTACTTTGTTACTTATTTTTTATTTATAGAATAACATTTGTGTTACTCATATTACCATTTGAATCTCTAACACCATCCTCTCCCACGCAGTTTTCAACTATTGTCATCCCCTTCCGCCACGAATTAGGTCATATTTCTCCTTTCTGAACCACTAACATCCCATTCAATTCTTTCCACACTACTTTGACCCAAACGAACTTTTATTTTTAAATTTTAATATAATTTCTTCTTTTAAAAAATAAATGATTTTTTTGGCTAGATAATTACTTATTGTGTACTTTTTTAAATCAATCTTTCCTTTCTCA